AGCCTGCCCCGCCTCCTCCCTCCTCCCTGAGCCTGTCCCCTCCTCCTCCTCCGTTCTCCCTGAGCCTGTCCCTCCTCCCCCCTGGTCCTCCCTGAGCCTGTCCCCTCCTCCTCCCTCGCCTCCCTGAGCCTGTCCCTCCTCCTCCCTGGTCCTGCCCTGAGCCTGTCCCTCCTCCTCCTCCTCCTGAGCCTGCCCCTCCTCCCCCCTGGGTCCTCCTGAGCCTGTCCTCCTCCTCCTCCTCCCTGAGCATGTCCCCTCCGCCTACCTGGTCCTCGCCCTGAGCCTGTCCCTCCTTCCCCCTGGTCCTCCCTGGAGCCTGTCCCCTCCTCCCCCCTGGTCTCCTGAAGCCTGTCCCTCCTCCCCCTGGTCCCTCCCTGAGCCTGTCCCATCCTCCCCCGCCTCCCCTGAGCCTGTTCCCCTCCTCAACCTGGTCCTCCCGTGAGCCTGGTCCCTCCTCCCCTCCTCCCTCCCTGAGCCCTGTCCCTTCCTCCCCCTGGTCCTCCCTGAGCCTGTCCCTCCTTGCCCCTGGTCCCTCCCTGAGCCTGTCCCTCCTCCCCCTGGTCCGTCCCTGAGCCTGTCCATCCTCCGCCCTGGTCCTCCCGGAGCCTGTCCCTCCTCCCCCCTGGTCCGTCCCTGACCCGTCCCTCCTCCCCCCTGGTCCCTCCCTGAGCCGGCCCTCCTCCTCCTCCTCCCCCCTGGTCCTCCCTGAGCCTGTCCCCTCCTCCCCCCTGGTCCTCCCTGAGCCTGTACCCTCCTCCCCCTTCCTCCCTGGAGCCTGTCCCTCCTCGCCCACTGGTCCTCCCTGAGCCGTCCGCTCCTCCTCCTCCCCCCTGGTCCCTGACCCTCCTCCCCTCCTGGCCCGGTCCTCCTGAGCCTGTCCCCTCCTCCCCCCTGGTCCTCCCTGACTGGTCCCTCCCGAGCCTGCCCTCCTCCCCCTGGATCCTCCCTAGCCTGTCCCTCCTCCGCCCTGGTCCTCCCTGAGCCTGTCCCTCCTCCCCCTGGTCCTCCCTGAGCCTGTCCCTCCTCCCCCCTGGTCCCCCCTGAGCCTGTCCCCTCCTCCTCCCGCTCCTCCCTGATGCCCGTCCCTCGCTCCCTCGTCCTTCCCTGAGCCCGTCCCTCCCACCCCTGGTCCTCTCCCTGAGCCTGTCCCTCCCTCCCCCCTGGTCCTCCCTGAGCCTGTCCCCTCCTCCTCCCTGGTCCTCCCTGAGCCTGTCCCTCCTCCTCCCTGGTCCTCCCTGAGCCTGTCCCTCCTCCCCCCGGGTCTCCCTGAGCCTGTCCCTCCTCCCCCTGGTCCTCCCTGAGCCTGTCCCTCCTCCCCCCCGGTCCTCCCTGAGCCTGTCCCTCCTCCCCCCTGGTCCTCCCCTGAGCCTGTCCCTACCTCCCCCCCCCTGGTCCTCCCGTGAGCCTGTCCCTCCCTCCCCCCTGGTCCTCCCTGAGCCTGTCCCTCCTCCTCCTCTCCTGTCCTCCCCGGAACCTGTCCCCTCCATCCCTCCTGGTCCTCCCTGAAGCCTGTCCACTCCTCCCCCCCTGGTCCTCCCTGAGCCTGTCCCTCCTCCTCCCACCTGGTCCTCCCCTGAGCCTGTCCGACTCCCCCCTCCTCCGCTCCTCCCTGAGCCTGTCCCTCCCTCCTACCTGGGTCCTCCCTGAGCCTGTCCCTCCTCCTCCGGGTCCTCCCTGAGCCTGTCCCTCCTCCCCCCCTGGTCCTACCCTGAGCCCTGTCCCGTCCTCCCCCCTGGTCCTCCGTGAGCCTGTCCCTCCCCCCCCTGGTCCTCCCCTGAGCCTGTCCCTCCTCCCACCTGGTCCTCCCGTGGCCTGTCCCTCCTCCCCCCTGGTCCTCCCTGAGCCTGTCCCTCCTCTCCTCCCTCCTCACTGACCTTCCCCCTCCTCCCGCGTCCGCCTGAGCCTGTCCCCTGCCTCCTCCTCCGCCTCCCGAGCCTGGCCCTCTCCCCCCTGGTCTCCCTGAGACCTGTCCCTCCGCCCCCGGTCCGCCCTGAGCCTGTCCGCCCCTCCACCTCCTCCTCCCTGAGCCGGTCCTCCGCTCCGCCCTGGTCCTCCATGAGCATGTCCCTCCTCCCCCCTGGGTCCGCCCTGAGCCTGGTCCCTCCTCCCACCTGGGCCTCCCTGAGCCTGTCCCTCACCGTCCCCCCTGGTCCTCACTGAGCCTTCCCCCTCCTCCTCCTCCCTGGCCTGTCCCTCCTCCACCCTGGTCCGCCCTGAGCCATCTCCCTCCTCCCTCCTCCTCCCTGAGACTTCCCTCCTCCCTCCTCTACTCACTCCTCCCTGGCCGGTCCCTCCTCCCCCCTGGGTCCCTCCTCCCTGAGCCCGTCCTACTCCTCCCTGGTCCTCCTGAGCCTGTTCCCTCCTCCTCCCTGGTCCTCCCTGAGAGCCTGTTCCCGCCGCCCCCCCCCTGGTCCTCCCTGACCTGTCCCTCCTCCTCCTCCTCCCCGAGCCTGTTCCCTTCCTCCCCCCCCCCGGTCCTCCCTGAGCCTGTCCCCCTCCCCCCTTCCTCCCGAGCTGTCCCCTCCTCCTCCTCCTCCTGGCCTCTCCCCCTCCTCCCCACTGGTCCCCCTGACCCGTACCTCTCCGCCATGGTTCCTCCCTGAGCCTTCCCTCCTCCCTCCCCGGTCCTCCCTGAGCCTGTCCCTCCTCCGCCTCCCCCTGAGCCGTCCCTCCTCCTCCTCCTCCCTGAGCCTGTCCCGCCGCCCCCCGGGCCCCCTGAGACCGCCTCCTCCCCTGGTCCTTCCCTGAGCCGTCCTCCCCCCCCCCTGGTCTCCCTGAGCCTGTCCCTCCTCCCCCTGGTTCCTCCCTGAGCCTGTCCCTCCTCCTCCTCCTCCCTGAGCCTGTCCCCTCCTCCCCCCCTGGTCCTCCCTGAGCCTGTCCCTCCTCCCCCCTGGTCCTCCCTGAGCCTGTCCCTCCTCCCCCCTGGTCCTCCCTGAGCCTGTCCCTCCTCCCCCCTGGTCCTCCCTGAGCCTGTCCCTCCTCCCCCTGGTCCTCCCTGAGCCTGTCCCTCCTCCTCCCCCCTGGTCCTCACTGAGCCTGTCCCTCCTCCCCCCTGGTCCTCCCTTAGCCTGTCCCTCCTCCCCCCTGGTCCTCCCTGAGCCTGTCCCTCCTCCCCCCTGGTCCTCCCTGAGCCTGTCCCCCTCCCCCTGGTCCTCCCTGAGCCTGTCCCTCCTCCCCCTGGTCCTCCCTGAGCCTGTCCCTCCTCCCCTGGTCCTCCCTGAGCCTGTTCCTCCCTCCCCCCTGGTCCTCCCTGAGCCTGTCCCTCCTCCCCCTGGTCCTCCCTGAGCCTGTCCCTCCTCCTCCTCCTCCCTGAGCCTGTCCCCTCCTCCCCCCTGGTCCTCCCTGAGCCTGTCCCTCCTCCTCCTCCCTGAGCCTGTCCCTCCTCCTCCCTGGTCCTCCCTGAGCCTGTCCCTCCTCCCTCCTGGTCCTCCCTGGCCTGTTCCCTCCTCCTCCTCCCTGAGGCCTGTCCCTCCTCCTCCCTGGTCCTCCCTGAGCCTGTCCCTCCTCCTCCTCCCTGAGCCTGTCCTCCTCCTCCTCCGTCCCTGAGCCTGTCCCTCCTCCCCCTGGTCCTCCTCTGAGCCTGTCCCTCCTCCTCCTCCCTGAGCATGTCCCTCCTCCTCCCTGGTCCTCCCTGAGCCTGTCCCTCCTCCTCCTCCTCCCTGAGCCTGTCCCTCCTCCCTCCTGGTCCTCCCTGAGCCTGTCCCTCCTCCCCCTGGTCCTCCCTGAGCCTGTCCCTCCTCCCCCTGGTCCTCCCTGAGAGCCTGTCCCCTCCTCCCCCTGGTCCTCCCTGAGCCCTGTCCCTCCTCCTCCTCCTCCCTGAGCCTTCTCCCTCCTCCCCCCTGGTCCTCCCTGAGCCTGTCCCTCCTCCCCCCTGGTCCCTCCCTGACCGCTGTCCCTCCTCTCCCCCTGGTCCTCCCTGAGCACTGTCCCTCCTCTCCTCCGGTCCTCCCTGAGTCCTGTCCCTCCTCCCGTGGTCCTCCCTGAGCCTGTCCCTCCTCCCCCCTGGTCCTCCCTGAGCCTGTCCCTCCTCCCCCCTGAGGGCCTGTCACTCTCACGTGAGCCTGTCCCTTCCCTCCCCCCTTGTGGTCCTCCCTGAGCCTGGTCCCTCCTCCCCCCCTGGTCCTCCCTGAGCCTGGTCCCTCCTCCCCATGGTCCTCCCTGAGCCTGTCCCTCCTCCCCCTGGTCCTCCTGAGCCTGTCCTCCTCCCCCCTGTCCTCCCTGAGCCTGTCCCTCCTCCCCCCTGGTCCTCCCTGAGCCTGTCCCTCCTCCCACTGGTCCTCCCTGAGTCCTGTCCCTCCTCCTCCTCCTCCCTGAGCCTGTCCCCTCCTCCCCCCCCTGGTCCTCCCCGGACCTGTCCCTCCTCCTCCTCCCTGAGCCTGTCCCTCCTCCTCCTCCCTGGTCCTCCCTGAGGGCCTGTCCCTCCTCCCCTCCTGGTCCTCCCTGAGGCCTGTCCTCACTCCTCCTCCCTGAGCCTGTCCCTCCTCCTCCCTGGTCCTCCCTGAGCCTGTCCCTCCTCCTCCTCCTCCCTGAGCCTGTCCCTCCTCCTCCTCCTCCCTGAGCCTGTCCCTCCTCCCCCCTGGTCCTCCCTGAGCCTGTCCCTCCTCCCCCCTGGTCCTCCCTGAGCCTGTCCCTCCTCCTCCTCCTCCCTGGCCTGTCCCTCCTCCTCCTCCCTGGTCCTCCCTGAGCCTGTCCCTCCTCCCCCTGGTCCTCCCTGAGCCTGTCCCTCCTCCTCCTCCTCCCTGAGCCTGTCCCCTCCTCCCCCCTGGTCCTCCCTGAGCCTGTCCCTCCTCCTCCTCCTCCCTGAGCCTGTCCCTCCTCCCTCCTGGTACTCCCTGAGCCTTTCCCTCCTCCTCCCTGGTCCTCCCTGAGCCTGTCCCTCCTCCCCCCCTGGTCCTCCCTGAGCCTGTCCCTCCTCCCTGGCCCCTCCCCTGGTCCTCCCTGAGCCCGTCCCTCCTCCCTGGCCCCTCCCCCTGGTCCTCACGGAGCCCATCCCTCCCCAGGGGTGGAGCGGCTGGTCCGCCACCTGCGCCAGCACCGGGTGCCCATGGCCGTGGCCACCAGCTCGGGGTCGGTGTCCTTCGAGATGAAGACCCGGGGGCACCGCGACTTCTTCGGCCTCTTCGACCACATCGTGCTGGGCGACGACCCCGCCGTGCAGAGGGGCAAGCCGGACCCCGACATCTTCCTCGCCTGCGCCGGCCGGTTCTCGCCTCCTGCACCCCCGGACAAGGTGCGCACGGGGGACTGGGGGCGGAGGGCGGGTGGAGGGCACGGCCACCTGGCTCTCCGACGAGCCCTGCCTGCTCCATCCCCAGGAGTCGCCCTGCACCCCTGTGGGTGCCCCCTGAACCCTGCCCCTCCACTCCCTGGACAGGTCATCTTCCAGGATAAAGCCCTCCAGCCCCAGCTAATGACGCTCATCTGTCCAGGAGGCACATTCACATGGCCTTCCCTCAGCTGGGGAGAGGGGGTGCATTGAGGCCTGGGAGTGGACTCAGGTGGCCTTAGGCTTAGCTGGGGAGAGGGGGGTGCATTGAGGCCTGGGGGTGGACTCCCATGGCCTTAGGCTCAGCTGGGGAGAGGCACTGAAGTCTGGGGGTGGATTCAGACGGCCTTCCCTCAGCTGGGGGTGCACTGGGGCCTGGGGGTGGACTCCCATGGCCTTAGGCTTAGCTGGGGAGAGGGGGTGCACTGAGGCCTGGGGATGGACTCACATGGCCTTAGGCTTAGCTGGGGGTGCACTGAGGCCTGGGGGTGGATTCAGATGGCCTTAGGCTCAGCTGGGGAGAGGGGGTGCATTGAGGCCTGGGGGTGGACTCAGGTGGCCTTAGGCTTAGCTGGGGAGAGGGGGTGCACTGAGGCCTGGGATGGACTCACATGGCCTTAGGCTTAGCTGGGGGTGCACTGAGGCCTGGGGGTGGACTCACATGGCCTTAGGCTTAGCTGGGGGTGCATTGAGGCCTGGGGGTGGATTCAGATGGCCTTAGGCTTAGCTGGGGAGAGGGGGTGCATTGAGGCCTGGGGGTGGATTCAGATGGCCTTAGGCTTAGCTGGGGAGAGGGGGTGCATTGAGGCCTGGGGGTGGACTCAGATGGCCTTAGGCTCAGCTGGGGGTGCATTGAGGCCTGGGGGTGGACTCCCATGGCCTTAGGCTCAGCTGGGGAGAGGGGGTACATTGAGGCAGGGGGTGGATTCAGGTGGCCTTAGGCTCAGCTGGGGGTGCATTGAGGCCTGGGGGTGGATTCAGGTAGCCTTAGGCTCAGCTGGGGGTGCATTGAGGCCTGGGGGTGGATTCAGGTGGCCTTAGGCTCAGCTGGGGGTGCATTGAGGCCTGGGGGTGGATTCAGATGGCCTTAGGCTCAGCTGGGGAGAGGGGGTGCATTGAGGCCTGGGGGTGGACTCAGATGGCCTTAGGCTCAGCTGGAGAGAGGGGGCGCTCATTGACACCTGCAGATCCAAGGGTCCTGGGTTCGATTCCGGTCAAGGGCATGTGCCTCGGTTGCAGGCTCCTCCCCGGCGTGGGCCCTGGTCGAGGCGTGTGCAGGAGGCAACCCGTCAATGTGTGTCTCTCACATCGATGTTTCTCTCTGTCTCTTTCTCTCTCTCTCCCTCACTCTCTAAAAATCAATGGGAAAATATCCTGGGTGAGGATTAACTATGTGTGTGTGTGTGTGTGTATGCATGTGTGTATTTGAGGTAAATAATAAAATAAAACGTGACCAGCTCCGAAGTTACTGAAAAGCATGCTTCCACCTACAATGACCTCTCCTGCTCTAGATATTCAATTATTGATTGAACAGAGTTTTAAGATTCCCATCAGATAAAGTCTGGCCCTGGCTGGTGTGGCTAAGTGGGTAGAGCATCAGCCTGCAGACCGAAGGGTCCCGGGTTCGATTCCCGGTCAAGGGCACGTACCCGGGTTGTGGGCTGATCCCCAGTAGGGGGCACACCCGTCTCAACCCTCTCTCCCCCACCTGCAGTGCCTGGTCTTCGAAGACGCCCCCAACGGGGTGGAGGCGGCCCTGGCGGCCGGGATGCAGGTGGTGATGGTCCCGGACGGAAACCTGCGCCGAGAGCTGACCACGAAGGCCACGGTGGTGCTGGCCTCCCTGCAGGACTTCCAGCCCCAGCTCTTCGGGCTGCCGCCCTTCGCGTGACGCTGCCCCGCCCGGCCCCCACGGTGTGAGACCCCGGCCGGCACCAGCAGGGGCATCCCCCCACATGCCCGGGGTCACCCATCCAGCCTCAGACCTCCCGCCCCTTCCCTAAATGCTGGCCGACCAGCCCGGCCTGTGTGGCTCAGTGGTTGAGCATCGACCTAGGAATCAGGAGGTCAGGGTTCGATTCCAGATCAAGGGCACATGCCCAGGTTGCAGGTTCCATCCCCAGTAGGGAGTGAGTAGGAGGCAGCCGATCCATGATTCTCTCTCCCTCTCCCTTCCTCTCTGAAATCAATAAAAATACATTTTAAAAGTATATATATAAAAAAAAATAAATGTTGGCCAACGGCAACTTGTCCATGGACAGATTCAAAACAGCGGCAGCCCAGATCAGAGATCAGAACCGACCCACACGGTCTCGTGAATGACCTGGGAACGCTTGCATCTGAACAGCCGTGTGCTTATCATGTGCATGGAATGTACACGCTTGTACATCCATGTACATGCTTGGTGGGAATACACGTGTGTATGCACGTGTGTGTCAGTATACATTCCTGTGCATGTACAATCCATCCCCAAGACAAACAAAGTTATACCTGTGTGTATTTCTTCCTGCCCCCTGCCCGGCACCCCTGAAATGCGGACACGTACACGTATGTGCCTTCCTGTGCACCTGCGCGTGTCCGTATTTATGTCCGTTCTGTGCTCCGTCACCAGTGGCTGCCGACAGCAGCGCGGTGGCCCTTCTGTGGGTGTGGCAAGCCGCGCGTGAAACCATGTCACAGCTGAGCCTTAGGAATTCCACCTGCTCGTTGGCACACGCTGACACGCCGACTCCTGGACATAGCATGTCTGCATAGCGTGTCCAATGGGGCAGGCATGCTCTCTACCTCCAACAGTTGTTTTTTTTGTATTTTTTTGGTGTGATCTTTTGTTGTTGTTTTTTACGGAGCTACTAAACCCAAGACGGCCAGCGTTCACATGGAGATATTTTGTTATAGAAAAAAAAAAACGGGGAAGATGCGATCAGAGGTGTCCCCACCACCTGCCCCCTTCCCTGTGGTCCCCGTCGCTGTCCGTCGCGGGAAACCCGTAGCCGCGTCCGGAGGGTCCGGGGGGATGACGTCTGGCCAGGATGGGCTCAGTTTAGCATGTTCATGTCTGTTCTTCACGTTCTCTTTCGACTGGCGGCCGCTTGTAACATCGTCCTGGTTCCCTCGCCGGTGAATTTACTTGAATAAAACTTTTCACACCCGCTGACGTGATGTTTGTATGAAAGTATGATTTTGCCTTTTCTTTTAAAAATACAAACAAATAAAATTGTCCTCTAAGAAATGTACAACATAAGTGTGTCTAATTGACAGTTTTTCCTAACTCAATCACACTAATTGTACAATGTTGTGTGTACATAACACACATACACACATATACACACACACATATACGTATATACACACATGTACACACACATATACATATATACACACATGTACACACACATATACTACAGGCCCGGTGCACGAATTCGTGCAAGCGGCTCGGCCCTCGCAGCCCCGGCTTCGCCCAGAAGGTCATCTGGAAGGACGTCCGGAAGGTCGTTCGGCTGTCCGGTCTAATTAGCATATTATGCTTTTATTATATAGGACATATGACTAGTTGCCTTAGTTTCGTAGCTCATTGAACCTGGGCCTACAGCCTGCTGACCACAGCCCCGCCTGGCTCACCCAGGGGCATGCACCCTGCAGAGAATATGGGGGGCGGGGGAGAGGGGACTAGAAATGAGGGTCAGACAGGCCTGTGTTATCTGCACAGAGCATATCTATGCAGAATAACATCCATGCCTATCTCTCTCTGTATATCTATTTCATATCTCTAGTCTCTTATCTACATCCACCTCTGTCTCCTTCGGAACGTTGCTGTCTAAACAGCTCAGGGAAAATCGAGTGTGGCTCTCCCATCTGTGCGAGCCGATGGTTTTGGATTAAGGGGAAAATTACCGTGGCTGCATGCCATGTCTCCCGTGGGAAGCGTTACCAATCTGCAGCAGGCATGTGCCCAGTTCTCCAGCCTCACGCCTGGTGCGTTTGCGTAGCGTGTCCCCATATGACACAGAATGTGGCTTCGGATGCTCGTACAGTGGTCGGCACCTTGTGCTGTGCCTGTGTGTGTGTGTGTGTGTGCGCACACGTGTGTGTTAGACATTCTCCCTCTCTCTCTCTCTCAAACACACACACACACTTCTATCTTTACAAATGCTCTTTTCCCAGAGTGGATAACACTTTTTTAAAATATATAGCCGAAACCGGTTTGGCTCAGTGGATAGAGCATCGGCCTGCGGACTGAAGGGTCCCGGGTTCGATTCCGGTCAAGGGCATGTGCCTGGGTTGCGGGCACATCCCCAGTAGGGGGTGTGCAGGAGGCAGCTGATCGATGTTTCTCTCTCATCGATGCTCCTAGCTCTCTATCTCTCTCCCTTCCTCTCTGTAAAAAAATCAATAAAATATATTTTAAAAAAAATAAAAATAAAATAAAATATATATATTTTTTTACTAGAGGCCTGGTGCACAAATTCGTGCACCAGTGGGGTCCTTCGGCCTGGCCCGCAGGATCGGGCCGAAACCAGCTCTCTGACATCCCCCGAGGGGTCCTGGATTGCGAGGGCACAGGCCAGGCCGAGGGACCCCACTGTTGCACGATCGGGTCCAGGGAGGGACACAGGAGGTTGGTCAGCCTAGGAGGGACCGCGGGAGGGCTCCAGGGCGTGTCAGTCCCGATCGGCCAGACCCAGCAGCAAGCTCACCTACTGGTTGGCGCATCTGCCCCCTGATGGTCAGTGCACGTCATAGAGACAGGTCAACCCGTTGACTGCCCCCGGTGGTCAGTGCACGTAATAGCGAGCAGTTGAGTGGCCTTAGCATATCATTAGCATATTACACTTTGATCAGTTGACTGGCCGACCGACCAACCGGACACTTAGCATATTAGGCTTTTATTATATAGGATTGACTATAGAGAGGAAAGGAGAGGGAGAGAGAGACAGAGACATCCATGATGAGAGAGAATCATGGATCAGCTGCCTCCTGCACGCCCCCTGCTGGGGATCGAGCTCACAACCCGGGCACGTGCCCTTGGCCGGGAATCCAACCGTGACCTCCTGGTTCGTAGGTCGACGCTCAACCACTGAGCCACGCCGGCCGGGCTGGGTAACAACACTCTTAAGAGAAAAGAATGGGTTCAAGATCAAGAGCAGGCATTTCATTTAGGATGGATTAGGACCTGGGCCCCTTCTATGGGCTGACGTCTCCATCCAGAGAAAAACCACTTGTCTGGAGGCTTTAACAAGGAAGCCCCATGTATGTTCAGTGGGAATTCTTACCATCCGCCCCCTTCGACACGGGCGGGAACGCCACGCACCTGCCCACCTCCGCTGACCTCTCCTCCCCGCGGGTCCCTGCAGCCTGGTCGCCATGCAAAGGGCAAGATCACCTCCCTTCCCAACCCGTCCCCACCCCCCTGGGCCCTCTCGCTGGGCCAGCTCCAGGCCTCCCCCACCGCCCCCGGTGGGCCCCGCAGACACCACGACACCCAGGCCTCCCTCTGGGCCCCGCAGACACCACGACACCCAGGCCTCCCTCTGATTCCCGTGCAGCTCCGAGCAGAGCTCTGTGCCGTGTTCCGGAGGGAAGTGGATCGCGTGAACACAGAGAGCCAAGGGAGCATGTGTGTCCAGAGGCGGGAGATAGCGGGCGGAGAAGAGAAGGACTTGTCAGCGTCTGAGATAAGATCGGGGGGGGGGGGGGGGGGAGCCCGCTCATAACATTGATGGAGCGCCTGCCTGCCAGGGGCTGCCGGCTTTCTCTCCCCTAATCACAGAAGCTGGCGTCAAACCATTACTCAGACCTGGCCGGAGGGTGGGTGTGGGAGAGAGGGGAGTCAGAGGGGGGAGGCATCCATTATCCCTCTGTCCAGCAAAGGAGAGGCGATAAGAGTTAGTCTAAGTGGTTTCACCCACAGGGACAGAGAGGAATGGGCCGCGGCCTCGGCGAGAGAGGAGAAACGCTTGAAATGAGTAAATGCATCTTTAGCCCTTGCCAGTGTTGCTCAGTGGCTAGAGCGTCGGCCTGGGGACTGAAGGGTCCTGGGTTCGATTCCTGGTCAAGGGCACGGACCTGGGTTGCAGGCTCCTCCCCAGCCCATGGCCTTGGTCGGGGCGCGTGCAGGAGGCAACCCATCGATGTGTCTCTCTCACATTGATGTTTCTCTCTGTGTCTCCCCCTCCCTTCCTCTCTCTCTGAAAATCAATGCAAAAATATCTTCAGGTGAGGATTAGCTAACTAGATGAATGAATGCATGAATGAATGAATAAATGAATGCATGAATGGATGAATGAATGAATGCATCTGTGGGACCACGTTGCTAACCTGACCAGCTCAGGGAAGGCCTTGCAAACTCAGAGACCTGAAGTCAGCACAGAGGATGGGCTGACATGAAAACGTTTTAATTAAAAAGCAGTTTACAGCCCTGGCCGGTTTGGTTCACTGGTCGGCCTGCGGACTGAAGGGTCCCGGGTTCGATTCCAGTCAAGGGCATGTACCTTGGTTGCGGGCACATCCCCAGTGGGGGGTGTGCAGGAGGCAGCTGATTGATGCTTCTCTCTCATCGATGTTTCTAACTCTCTATTCCTCTCCCTTCCTCTCTGTAAAAAAATCAATAAAATATATATTTTTTTAAAAAAATAAAAAGCAGTTTACACTATAGGAGTGGATGGTCACTTCCTAGGCCGGTATTTTCCCTGATAAAGACCATCTGGATCTTCCCTGAGCCCGTTGTGTTTTTTTGCATCTGAGATGACAGAACCTGTGGATCCAATATTGGGGTCACCCGTCACTTCCCTTTCTCCAGACCCCTCGAGGCACAGCCCACGCATCAGGGCGGACACCCCCAAATCCCCTCATTGCTATTGTCATCATCGTGTTCATTGCTGACTGTCGAAGGTCCGGCACCCACGTGTGTAAATGAATCAGGTGTCCATCATTTCACATTGCTATTGTCATCATCGTGTTCATTGCTGACTGTCGAAGGTCCAGCACCCACGTATGTAAATGAATCAGGTGTCCATCATTTCACTTTTCATCCAATGCCAGGGGTCTCCCCGCTTGGCTTTCTCCCGCCTCCCTGACCCATCCCCGATGGATCCATCCCCTAGGAACCCACGTATGTCCGCGTCTTTGATTGTCATGTATAAAATAAGGTAAAAAAAAAATCGCCAATCTCCAACCCTTGAGGTTCTGCTTCCCTGCCGTTGTCGACGGTTTGGCGCCAATAAACTCACAGAAGTTCTTATAGGTTTGAATGTGTCTTACGTCCACCCTCCCACGTGTGTATTTGTCCGCGTGAGTTATACGGACCCTCTCTCTCTCTCTCTCTCTCTCTCTCTCTCTCTCTCTCTCCCCCCCCCCCCGTTCCCCAGTATTTGAAAGTGAAATATCGATGGTGCAATATTTCACTTCCCAAACACACAGGTCCTGCATGAAAACGCTTGTGTGGTCCGGCCGGCGGGACTCAGTGGTTGAGCTTTGACCTGCGAACCAGGAGGTCCCGGGTTCGATTCCCAGTCCAGGGCACCTGTCTGGATTTCAGGCTCGATCCCCAGTGTGGGGCGTGCAGGAGTCAGCCGATGCATGATTCTCTCTCATCATGGATGTTTCTCTCTCTCTCTCCCTCTCCCTCTCTGAAATCAATCTATATATATAAAAAGCCAGCAGCCGGAACACCCCAGTCGCTATGAGGCCCACTGCTGCTAGCAAACTGGCCCCATGGGGGGGTGAGGCCGGCGGCCAATCTCCCTGGACCCCTCCCCCTGGCTGGCCCTGCCCCTGATCGCCCCCCTACCCCAATAGGGAGTGGGCTGGCCAACCTCCTGTAACCCCTCCCCCTGGCCAGCCCCACCCCCAATGGGCACCCCGACTCCAGTCAGGGGCAGGGCCAGCCGGCCAACCACCCATGGCCCCTCCCCCAAGCTGCCGACCCCCAATCACCCCCCCAATTGGGAGCGGGGCCCACTGGCCAATCACCCGCAGCCCCTCCCCCCAGTGACCCCGGCCCTGATCGGACTGATGGGCCCATTCAGGGCCGATGGCTGGCCAACCTCCCCCCCCCATCTCCTCCTCCCTACAGACCTTGGCCCCAATCAGCCGATTGGGGCCGGGCCCACCGGACCCCACCCGTGCACGAATTCATGCACCGAGCCTCTAGTGCAAATATATTGAAGAAAAAGGAAAAAAAAAAAGATAGTGGCCTTTGGCTGGCCCTGGGATTTCCAGGAATAAGATGGGCGTTAATGAGGG